CGTGTGTGTGTCTGTGCGTGTGCGTGTGTGTGTCTGTGCGTGTGCGTGTGTGTGCATGCTTGGGTGTGTGCGTTTGTGTGCTAAAAATCGTCGTCGTAAAAATATAGGCTATTATATATATGTTAATTGTGCGGCTACGCGTTCAGTAAATTTTAATTTTACTGACTGCATGTTTTTCTATTTAATTATTAATGATGGCTAAATTATTAATCTGAGAATCGGACGAGATTGCAGGATCAATAATTATTTTCAAGATGGCGACAAGGGGCCGATCGCTAGCACTACCGGATATCTATATTACATAACCACGCCCATCCTGTCTCAGACCAGTGACTCACACCCATAGAAATAATATACCATAGTTAGTCTATGTCTCTATCTATGTCTGTATACATCTATACGGTTTGTCAATATATTTCTATGCTCACATCGCACCCGCGTAGATTACGCCCGTAACATTTCCACTACTTCTCTTCTTCATACTTCTTCTTCTTCGTCTTTTTCTTCTTCTTCTGAATTGTGCATTTCGCATTATTAGTCCCACTCAAGTGGGGTCGCTGCAGTAGACTCTGCCACTATTTCTCTTCCCCTGTGCGTAAAGTATGTGGGTTTAGACGCCGACCGCAGTTGGGCTCGACGGGCGATGAGTCAATGTCGATGGAGTCTGTGCGGTTCGTTATCTGTCTGTGCCATTACCGCATAACGTACGTCTGTAAAGCGATGGTCCTGACGCAGAGGGAACTGACTCACGAGTTGCTTTCACTGGAGTCGGACTGCAACCAAACAGTGATAAAGAATGAAATGGGTTTAGAGTCAATTCCGACGCGTATTGTGGTTGTCTATGTCAGTGTCGATACCTGTAAGGTGAAATGTCCATGCAATATATGATCGTTAGGGTGTGACCATAGAAATGTACTATATACAATATACCTTCATAAGGCCACCAAGGAGTCATGAAGACACGACGCCTCGCACGAGAAAGTGTCTAGTGGGTGAATATATCGAAACATATCGACCACATGTGCACAGCGTGCAAAGCTTGCCAGGTACACCAAGATGCCATTAAGCGCAAGCCACTTGTACCACATGCAACATAAGCCAGACCCTGGCAGCTCATTGCAACAGATCAGGAGTGTATAATAGGGAGGAGTGTGACATCAATAAACAAGGGAAATTCGTCATTTACTAGCCTTATAATACCTACGATTTACTACGCGTAACTCATCCAACTTGAGCTCAAATCGGACAGCTAGGGGTTTTGATATTTAAAAAAGAATTATGCAAATTAGGTAGGGTTTGGCAATTATATAGCATATATAAACACAAACAGTCTGTGGTGTCATGCTCGTCTGGTTCGTTTTACAAGATTTCATTGACAATATCTTTAATGCAAAATTGGTATTTCCCCTTCCACTCTGTCGATAAAACGTCTATATTAGAGTAAAGTTTTAGAAAACATGTCGGAACACAGCATAAGCTATTTATTTCGAACGACATTGCTACAAAGCGGGTGTAGCGCCATCTACCGTCACAAATTGTCATTCATTTTGGTTTATAAATTATTATTGCGATATACAGATGGCAATCGTTTCTATAATGTACGTCGATGGTTGCTCAATTAAAACTGACTTCTTCTTACTCATTCATTTGTGTCCTTTTTTGTGGTGAGCTACAGTGTCATTGACACTTTCATTGGTAGGTGAACTGCACTGGACCCTCACGCAACAGAAAGACGCACAGTGCGTGCGTACAGTTGGGAAAAGAATGTCAGACCTGCATGCTGCCTGTTCACGTGGGGACGTTGAGAAAGTGTTAGAACTTCTGCGAGGTGGAGCGAAAACATCGAGCGTGGACGTACGCATGGAGACGCCTCTCCACGTCGCCTGCGCACTTTCGCGGGACAGGACGGAAGAGAAGATGGAGATTGTGAAACAGCTGCTGCTGCATGACGCGCCGCTGAAAGAGGAGAATGAGCGCGGGCAAACGCCTCTCATGCTCGCCTGCGAAACAGCCAGCGCGAATGTTGCAGCCGTGCTGCTAGACAATGGAGCGGACCTGTGCTCGCGTTACCGTGGCAACGAAACGAAGTGGCACGCAGCCGTGGCCGGCGGGAACGCGCAGGTCCTGTCGCCGGCTTGCTCTGGCCAGCTGGTCATCATGCGCCTGCTACTGGAGGCCGGCGCCGACCCCAACGTCGCCGAGTCGCAGATAGGAAAGACGCCGCTGATGTTGGCGGTGGAGCTGGGCAAGGAGGAGTTGGTGCGGATGCTGCTCTCACACGGCGCCGACGCCAACGCCGCGGACTCGCAAGGACAGACCTCCCTGTACTACGCGGCTTGCAATGTCCAGCTGGACATTGTGCGCCTGCTACTGGAGGCCGGTGCAGATCCAAACGTCGCCGAGAAGAAGAGTGGAGAGACGCCGCTGATAAAGACGGTGATGGAGGGCGAGGAGGCGATGGCGCGGATGCTGCTCTCACACGGCGCCGACGCCAACGCCGCGGACTTGTACGGACGGACCACCCTGTACTACGCGGCTTACTATGGCCAGCTGGACATCGTGCGCCTGCTACTGGAGGCCGGTGCAGACGCCAACGCCGCAGACTCGTCCGGACAGACCTCCCTGTACAAAGCGGCTCGCGTTGGCCGGCTGGACACCATGCGCCTGCTACTGGAGGCCGGCGCAGACCCCAACGTCGCCGAGACGCAGATAGGAGAGACGCCGCTGATGATGGCGATGAGGACCCGCAAGGAGGCGGTGGCGCGGATGCTGCTCTCACACGGCGCCGACGCCAACGACACGGACTCGTTCGGACAGACCATCCTGTACCATGCAACTTGCTCTGGCAAGCTGGACATTATGCGCCTGCTACTGGAGGCCGGCGCCGACCCCAACGTCGCCGCGACGGAGAGCGGACAGACCTCCCTGCACATGGCGGCCAAATTTGGCCCGCGGAACATGGTGTACCGGCTAATGGAGGCCGACGCTGAGCCGGAAGAAAGGGGGCGTATCACCGAGTTGATCTACACCTGTAATCGATTTCGAACCGAGGTAAAACTACGGGCATACGTTGCGAATGAGTGAGACCGATTTAGCAATGTCCTAATGTATTTTCTTCTAGATGGTAAAGGTAACCAGTAATAGTAATCGGTTAACAGTTAATAATAGATATGTTAAATAGTTTCGCCGCATTACACTACTCCTGCAATCTACTCGGGACCGAGGTGAAACTGTGGGCGTGCGTTGTGAACGACGGAGACAATTTTAGCGATGTTCCAATGTATTTTTGTCTAGATTATAAAGGTAATCAGTAATAGTAATCGGTTAATAGTTAATAATTTAATAATAGTAATACAGGGTCTCCAACCATTCCGCATTCTGCGGAATCATTACGATTTCTAGGCTTAATCTCCGCATTCCGCAGCGGCAAGGTTATATTCCGCATTTCAGTTGCACTGTATAAAATTTGCACTGATTGTTCGCATTGTTCGCTTGGACACATTGTATTTTTTTCAGCCGGTGCCTGGCACTGGCCACGCGCTGGTGCAGTACTCAGAGATGCAGCAAGTTATTAATAGCCGTCACCGCGCGAGTCGTTTCTTGGAAATGAACACTCTGCCATTACCTTAGTTTTGCACCCGCCCCCTACCATCGCTCAGTGTTATAATAGGCGCGTTCACACACAAGAAAAACCGCGATGCTAATCGCGATGAAATACCGAGATAATTGTGTCGTTGTTCACACAGGCGAATAATTGCGCTAATCGCCGAGCGGGATAATTCTATTAATAGAACTGCGCATGCTCACTGCCGGAATGATGCTCACTGCGCATGCTCACTGCCGGAATGATGCTCACTGCGCATGCTCACTGCCGGAATGATGCTCACTGCGCATGCTCACTGCTCTCTCGCTTGGAATGATGGGATAGAAAATACCGGGATTATTTGCGCGAGTGTTCACACACGCAAATAATCGCGCTAATTCTAAATAATCGCAGTCAAAAGTGCGATTTGGAGCGCGATGCTGATCGCGATTATTAGTGGGTATTATTGCGTTCACACTTGTAATAATCTCGGTATTTCGATCGCGATGCAAAAACCGGGATTTACATCCTGCTTATTCGCGCCAGTGTGAACGCGCCTAATGTGTTTCTATATGCATTTTGTATCTGGCATGTCTACGGTAAATGGAACAGCCTAGTCAGACAGGCGCTGTCTACAAGGTGTCGCGTAGTTTGTCTGCTAATCAGATTAACACGTGGGGAGAATGGCGTCCACATTGCCATCCAAAAAACCCCGACTTTCACAGAAATTCAGGAACGAATATACACAGATGTGGCCTGTAATTGTGAAGTCGAAACTCAGTGTTAATCATGGCTATTGCATGATATGCAAGACAGACTTTCAAGTGGGGCACGGAGGAAGGGGTGACTGCCAAAGGCATATAGACTCTCAACAGCATAAGTGCTATGCGGGTGCAGTGGAATCTACACCCAATATATCAAGCTTAATTCTTTGCAGCAGATAGAGAATTGTCTGTCTTCACGCAGATGTGAGATTTACGGATTATTTAATTGAACACAATGTGCCTTTGAGGGCGGCAGACCATGCAAATGAACTCTTCAAGAAAATGTTTCCAGACTCACAAATAGCCAAAAAGTATGGTTGCAAACACGTGAAATTGTGAGAAATTGCAATTCTTACCTGTGTTTTAATACATGTATTATTACTATAGTAACCTAACTGTGTATATGCTCTCTGAAAGTTATGAAAACTGTTTTGAATCCTAACTTGTAGGGCTAAGTCTAGGGTTGAGATAGTGTCATCAGACATTAGAATATGGCCCACAGTACGCCGCAGATTGCAGGAAAATGGCTTAAATATTTCACAATTTTCTGGGGGGCATACCCCCTCACCCCCTAGTACTGGCATGCCTACGACACGCAGGCCTGCCTGCGGCAGCCAAGGTTAATTTCACCCACCCCCCACTATCCATCAATTTCATTCCGCATTTGGAGTTCACAGGGTTGGAGACCCTGGTAATAGTTAGTAATTGGCAACAGTAATAAAGGCAGAATGCTCGGAGAAACTTGTTCTTTAAGCAACGAATCTAAAATCGGGTTGTTAACGATCCTCATTTCTTTCGTTCACACAGATGATTACTCACCTCTTGAAACACGGAGCTGACCCGAACCTCGTCGATTGGAACAAGAGGACACCGCTCGCTATAATAGGCAGCCGGGTGAGAAGCCACAGAATGAGTGATCGAGCAGCACAAGCGGATTCAGCAGCACAAGCGGCGTCAGCTCTTCTAGAGACGTGTGTAATGTTTAGTATGCATAGCACGAGAAGGCGTAATACATTAGGTAAACACATTATCTTTATTCACGCACGGCGGGCAGAACCTCGCGCCGACCTTTTACCGCCAGACACAGACGTATCCATCCGCGTAAGAAAACAGCGCAACATATGATATATGACAACGTGCGAGTCCGCCGGCGTACGTCTATACAGGTTAACACACGCGACAGCGAGGGCGACACCCCGCTACACAGCTTCTGTAGGATGATGCTCGCATGCAAAGACGATGTTTACGCGCAAGAGAGGGAGGGGTGCGTGCAGATAGTGCACGCGCTGCTGTTCAGCCACGGTGCACACGTCGACGTGGTAAACGCACTGGGAGAGACGCCATACAATCTCTGGCGCCGGATTTACCCGACACGTTTCCGCGGCAACGTGGAGTCGAGCGACGAGATACATGGCAGAATGAGCGCGCAGTATCATTCACTGAAGTGCCACTGCGCGCGCTTTATCGTCAGACACAGCATTGCATACGAGAACAAGCTGCCTCCGAGTCTCATAGAATTTGTCAGGGCACACGCTAGACCAACGTAGGTGACACTAAGCGTGTTAACCGAGGAAGCCCATGTAGAATCGGAGATGCGATAACCCAGAAGATATTATCAATACTTGGTAGATCTATGTTCTAAATGTTGCACGTGTTGGCAGACGTGTTTCATTGCAATGTAAAATCGAGTATATTTAGTAACACTATTCAGTTTATATAGAAATGTGTAGATTATCGGTATGATGCCTTGGTGAATTGGGGCGATTTAATAACCACGAGTGCAAATGTTAAAAGTTTGCAAATCATTTTGCTCTGTAAAAAAACTCTAAAGGCTTAGTTGGGTTCAGAATATTAAAAATAAATAAAAATAAAACAAATATTTTACCATGAAATGTATGCAATTCGGAAAGTACTTATTACCACCAGAATCACATATTTGATGTGCTCCTGGTACCACACACCACCAAAAAATATAATCATTAATGACCCACTGTTCAGACGATCCACTTGTCATAATGTACCCATTAATAGGGTATATATATACTATATACTGTACTAGCGGGATACCCGGCATTGCCCGGGGAAATCAGTGGCGTTACTCAGTTGGTGACCGCTTGGTTGAAAGGGAAATGCCCAAAAAAATCGAACTATCTATCTATCCATGCATCCATCCATCCATCGCATTCCTTGCCATCCCATCCCATCCCATCGCACCGCATCCCATCCCATCCCATCGCACCGCATCAAATCCCATCCCATCGCATATCCCATCCCATTCAGCCAGAACCACCTGCCAGACGTGCTGATTCTGAAAATATATTTAGTTTTCCTCTAGGCTGCGGAGTTCACACAAAGTACCCACTGGTCGATGTCATGCACACACCCGTTTCAAGCCAAGCAGTGGCAAGCAAGATTAAAGCCTACTGTGCTCTGTTCGGAAGACCAGACGAGCTCATGACTAACAATAGACCACAGTACACGGGGCAAGCCTTCACACAATTTGTCAAGTCATGGAACATTAATGACGTCACAAGCTCACCTCACTATACCCGCGAAGCAACGGTCACATCCGCTACGTGAAGCCCATCATAAAGAAGACGTTGGAATGTGGAGAAGATTTGCAAATGTCATTTCTAAATTTACGCGCCACACATGTAGATACAGATTTGACCAGAAGAGCTGATGTTTGGCCGTCCACTCATCACACTGTTACCGAGCCACGGTGAGCCCAGACCAAGCAGTGAGAGGGAGCAGCTGCAGAATCGGAATGAGAAAATGCGGCAACAGACTCCAGACGCGCCTAACCTACCACCGCTCCACGTGGGGCAGAGAGTGCGGATCATAGACAAATGCAACAAAACTTGGTGTCCCGGGGAAGTGGTCACACGACACGAGCAGCCACGAGGTTACGTCGTAGAGACTCCAAATGGAACACGCCTACGACGAAATCGCAGCCATCTGCGTGAGCTAACTACCGGACGGATCGTCAAGCTGTACGATTAGGAGTCCAACCAGGCTTCCTGTGAAGCAGCTAATATGTCCCCAGCTAATGCTCAAGGTGACACCTCGTCCCAGGATTCCAGTAGCGGGACAGATATCGTACCCAGAGAAATTCCTCTAGTCCAGGCAAGTCCGTCACGGCCGCGTAGTAAAGTTGCAAGCAAGATTCCTAGAGTGAACGTACGTTAGTTGGCAACGTACGAAGTTATTACTCAATGCTAAAGAGATTAGTCAGCGCCATGTAGGGGAAGAATGACCCCCAGGACAGGAGGGCAGTCTATCCCTGTGAATGTCCTATTTTGTTTATACATAATTCCTAAGTTTGTACCTTTACTCTATGTAAACTGATAAACATTATCACTTAGTAACATCAATTATTCAAAAATGACCTCTCCTTACAAGTCGTCTGTGAAAACGGGAGGTTTGCTACACAGTATAGTGGGTGTTTGCTAGGGCTACATGGTTATGGAGCAAACGATAAACTGTCATTATATTTATAATTACGATAGCTATTATAACTTATAAGGTTCGCAGTGGCTGGAGGTACGGCAGCCGTCGTTCGTTGAAGTCCCTTTTTGGAGTTAGGGGTTATGGTTAGGGTTCTAGCTCATCTAAACTCTCAAATCGAAAATTTATTTTCCAATGCATTATTTCGAAATCTGGCACCACCCGCCGCCATCTTTGTCTTGTTAAGTATGAAAGCGAATGGACTGCCGTACCTCCAGCCTCGAGACATTAAGATACGGCTGCCGTACCTCCAGCCACTGCGTATAAGGTTAGCCCAAAGATTAGCAAGAAATCAAAAGAGGTATCATTGTGTGGTTCATCTTACAGTGGTCATAAGACGCAAACTCTCCTTTTACAACTTGCATGTACAGGCGTGCAGTAGGCACGGGAGGCACCACATAACCTAGTAGTCATAACATGAAAATGTAAATGAAATGGCTAGAAGAAGAATAAGCATTTTTTAATTATAATTTTTACTTGCAGCATAGACTGTTATCTAGCCATGCAGGCTTCAGCGTCTAAATACATAAATTAAAATAAGTATTAGGTAGTAACTAGCTCTAGTGTGGAGATTTCGGGTGTGTGTAACTTACAGGAGCAGTAGACTAGATCAGGATGGATAGACTGAACTCACCGTATAGATGGAATAACCATATATTGACGGAAGAGAGGGTAAAATATGGACCGCACATAAATACATCAACATGCTCATGGGCGCAGCCATCTTGGGTCATAGGTCAAGGGATGTGATGAGGGCGAGATGAGTCATGAGAGAAGGGCGCTGACGCCGGGTAAATAGAGTATAATAATCAACGGGGTTTTGTATTATTAGCCGATTATATATTATTAGCCAGCATAATATATGAGGAGATTTGAATAGAATGGATAGGCTAAGTTGTAGAGGAGGGGAATAGTTACGTAGGCACGGGTTGCATGAGATGATGCAATAATCTGTACCAGCCACGCGTTGCACAACTCGGTGACTAACCGGTGAGTCATCGTGGTACCGCCGGTAACGGATTGCACCACCGAGCGAAACAGCCGTAGGGGGGGGTGTTGCCAGCTAGGTATATAAGGGAGACGACACCGAGCAGAAGCAAGCATTATTTTCAGGTCTAGGAAGAAGAAGAGGAAGAAGGAGGAGAAGAAGAAGACGAAGGAGAGGAAGAAGAAGAAGAGAGGGAGCGAGAAAGCGTCGGAGAGATAGGGAAGAAGCACAGGTTTTCAGGTAGGTGAAAACCGGAGACGAACGGGAGAGGGGAATAAAACGAGGACGGAGAATTAAGAACGGGATTCCGGTTAGGTAGAGCCAGGCGTGGAGGAGAGGGAGACACCTTGGAGACTGCCTAGGTCTACGCGAGGAGAGGAACGTGAGAGAGGAAGACGAAACCGGCGACGTGTTACTTCTTCAATATTAATCTAGTGATCGGATCTGCTGCATATACGAACGCAGAGGAATTATTTGTGAACTAGTAGGAAACAATAAAGCTATAACCGTACAGTTAACCGAATCTCACTGTGTTCTGTTCAACTGGTGCTACCTGTTATCTGCTACGTGACATCACCGTCCTGCCTGTTATACCGGCGGGAGCGAACACTGAATCCCACAACTAGGACACGCGTTACGAAACAACGTCTGTCGAACCATAGTCGGCCACCCCTAGGGCCTCTACAGTAAAAGGTTTCCTCGTCGCTTTCCGTCACGTCTAGCAGAGCGACCACGGGAGATCTGCTAGCCAGCTTTCTCGAGCGTTTCGCAGGACTGCCACTCTTTTCTTCACTGCCACACTTCTACAACACGAGCAACGTCAAGAATGTTTTAAATGCTGTATACGCTATATTTTTCGCGTACAGATGTTTTCGCGAATTCAGACTTCGCGAGTGGTTAATTTTGCGGTCGGTGAATTATGAATTATTCGGTATGAATTATTCGCGTGTTGTTATTTTCGCGTCGGGGACGCGTTTGCGAAATTTGCGAAAATTAAACCACCGCGAAATATACAGCTTATACAGTAGGCCAGAACAAAGGCAATCTTAATACATCAATACATCCCAGCGATTGTAAAAACGGACACAATGTTCGATATCTATCGAATAAGATAACTATTGAGAATACACATGCAGATATGATCAATCATGATCATGGTAATCAAACACTCGTTTCTGGTGATTAATTGATTAATCAATTGATTAATTGATCAACCCAAGGTAATTGATGTAATTGTGATACGTGCGTGAGATTGTTACACATCGCAGTCGATAAACGACAATCAGACATTTGTTCAAATGACAAAGAGTTGGAAAGGTGTAGATTGTTTGTCAGAAATGATATGAATTTTTGAATTTTTCTATGAAACCTGCTGAAGACGTCAGAACTTCGCGAGTGGTTAATTTTGCGGTCGGTGAATTATGAATTATTCGGTATGAATTATTCGCGTGTTGTTATTTTCGCGTCGGGGACGCGTTTGCGAAATTTGCGAAAATTAAACCACCGCGAAATATACAGCTTATACAGTAGGCCAGAACAAAGGCAATCTTAATACATCCCAGCAATTGTAAAAACGGACATAATGTTCGATATCTATCTAATAAGATAACTATCGAGAATACACAGATATGATCAAGAGCTAATAATACCTATTATAGCTAATAAGTATTATTAGCTCTTGATATGATCAATCATGATCATGATAATTAATCAAACACTCGTTGCTGGTGATTAATTGATTAATCAATTGATTAATTGATCAACCCAAGGTAATTGATGTAATTGTGATACGTGCGTGTGATTGTTACACATCGCAGTCGATAAACGACAATCAGACATTTGTTCAAATGACAAAGAGTTGGAAAGGTGTAGATTGTTTGTCAGAAATGATATGAATTTTTGAATTTTTCTATGAAACCTGCTGAAGACGTCAGTATGATTATAATATATATAGTAATAATAATATGTTATTATTGTAGGCTTTATATTGCAATTAAAACAAGAGCAATCGGAGATAGCAAACCTCCGCCACAGCGTAAAAGTGCCCCATCTTGTTGATTTAAGAAAATTTTTAGAAATTAAAAAAAAAGATCCAGGATTTTGTTGATGAATTTTGAATACGTCCGAAGTCTTCCCCACAAATTTGTTTTTAATTTAAAAAAATCGAGATCTGGATTCGGATCACCACCAAAATCTAATCGATTGTTTGTGGACCCAAGAACAACCCGTCAAAAAAATTTCATCAAAATCCGTGCATAACTTTTTGAGATATCCTGTTGACAGACAAACCAAGTCACCAACAAACTAACAGAGGCGAAAACATAACCTCCTTGGCGGAGGTAACAAACTAACAGGGGCGAAAACATAACCTCGTTGGCGAAGGTAACAAACGAACAG